GGGTGTGGCCGCCTTGGCGGCGAGGAGGGTGGGGAGTGGGCCCCTCTGGCCATCCCAGGGGACCCCCAGGACTGCTAAGGACAGTTGGAAAGTGGTTCCCACTCTGGCGTTGCCGGGAGGACCGGGTTCCACTCCTCTGGAGGGCTTGGCGTTCAGGACCCCCGAGTGGGAAACTTCTAGACCTGGGGAGAGGGCCCACGCGAGGGTGGCGCGAGCCGCAGAATCTGCTCCCGGTGGAAACGTGGAAGGGTAGGGCCCCTGCCTGGTGGCCGGCTTCGAAGTAAGAGGTAACCCAGCCTCCTCCCTTGACCACCACGCTCCTCCTGTCTGCTTTGGGGGGATGTGAGAAGCTGGTTACATTTTCAGAAGCTGCTTTCAAAACTGACATTTCAATGGGGAAAGAAAGTAGCGCATGTATTTGCCACGGCCACCCTGAGGCTTTGTAGTTCATCCTTTTTCTTTCTCTTGTTACTTTCTTTTCGTATCTCTTTCTCTTTCCTCCTTCACGTTTTGCTATTCTGTTTCATTAGGCTTTGTCTCTCAGGGTTTCTTGCACGATCCTCTGGGGAACCAGTGAGGAGGCCCTTTACTTGGTCTGGCCCCGTGCAAATTTTTTGCCACTTTGGGAACAGGCTTTCTTTACGGGCTGTTCCAAAGGAAAGCGTCGGGAGCATTGGGTTCACATAGGGTTCTCCATGCCCCTCGACTTTGAAAATATAAAGAGTCCAAGCGTGGATCTTTTTACTGGGGCAGAGTTGGGGTCTTGGACCATCTAAATGAGGTCAGTAAAGCTCAGAAAACCCCAGATCGTAAGCAAGCCCATTCATTTGGCAAGCATTAACAGCCAGCTCTGTCCTGAACAGAATCAAGTGGGACAGCCTTTCTCAAACTAGGGTCCCAGGGCTCATTCTCAAAGCAGTTCCAGGAGAGTTGGTTTTCTTTTTTAAATAAACATTAAAAAAAAAAATTTTTTTTTTTGGAGCAGTTTTAGATTTATAGAATTAATGGGAACATAGTGCCGAGAGTTCCCATATACCCCATACCCAATTTTTCCTATTCTTAACATCTTACTCCAGGAGAGTTTTTACATTTTTTTTTTTTTTTTTTTAAGATGACCGGTAAGGGGATCTTAACCCTCGACTTGGTGTTGTCAGCACCACACTCAGCCAGTGAGCGAACCGGCCATCCCTATATGGGATCCGAACCCGTGGCCTTGGTGTTATCAGCACCGCACTCTACCGAGTGAGCCACAGGCGGGCCCGAGTTTTTACATTTTGTATTTTTGTTTTGTTGATATTCTTGAAAGTGTTACTAAGTATAAAGACAACAGTTCTCTGTGAGAGATAATTCATAACTGATACGTTCTTAAAGAGAGAGATCCCCAGTCGCAGATGATACATTCTCAGAGTTCTGAAAAGTTTTTTTTCCTTTATGCTTAAGTATCATTCACATGGGGTTAAGAACCTGGGTTCCGGGGGCATCCAAAGCTGGGTGTATTAATTTTGCAGGGCTGCCATAACAAATTACCACAGTCTTGGTGGCTTAAATCAACAGGAGTGTATTGTCTCTCAGTCCATGGCCCGAAGTTTGAAATCAAGGTATTGGCAGGGCCACACTCCCTCTGGAGCTTCTGGGGAAGAACCTTTCCTTGCCTCTTCCAGGTTCCAGTAGCTCCAGGCATTGCTTGGCTTGTGGCAGCAACACTCCCATCTCTACCCTGTGTCTCTGTGTTCTTTTTTTTTTTTTTTTTTTTTTTTGTGGATGGCCGGTATGGGGATCCAAACCCTTGCCCTTGGTGTTATATATGCTCTAACCAGCTGAGCTAACTGGTCAGTCCTCTCTTTTCCCATAGGACACCAGGCACTGGGTTTAGGGCCCACTCTAAATCTCATCCCAAGATCCTTGACTTAATTACATCTGCAAAGATCCTATTTCCAAATCAGGTTCTGGAGATCTAGGACATGGACGTACATTATCTTTCTTTGGTCACACTACGTGGCCCAGTGTTGTGCCATGCCACTTTACAGGCTGGGGGACTCTGCACCTCAGCTTCCTTGTCGGAAGAATTGGGCGATGTCAGGATACTGTGGCACAAAACGTATGTTCAATAAATGAATGCCTCTTTGGAGGTAGCACCTGCTGCGTAATGGGCTGCCAATGGCCTCTGAGTTGGCTGGGGGACTGTTTTGGGCAAGGTGGCACTTGTTCCTGGGTAGGCAGGAACCGAGCTGGGGGCACAAGGAGGAACTGCTCTGGTGTGTCCAGTGAGCGCACAGTCCCAGGGCTGGGGTGTTGGCTGCAGGTTCCCAGATCTGAGAGGAGGGCTGGCTGGTGGGCACAGCATATTGGCCGACGGTCCCATGGGAAAGGTCCAAGGTGGTCCAGCCACTGGGTGTACGTGGCTGCTGGGCAGACCACAAGGGAGCTCCCCCATATGACTCAGGTATGAACCAGGCTGCCAGGAGTTTTAGGCCTTCTCTTGGGATGGCCTTCTTTCCCTGGCTTTAGTGTTTCCCCACTGGGACCCTTTGGGGGCATGAATGCAAGAAGGCATCCTGATGCTCACCTGTCGGTCACAAGGTGGGGTGCTGCCACCTGCCTGTGCTTCTAGGTTCTTGGGATATCAATGTGTGTGGGTGGGGACACAGTGAGAGTCGGCCAGGACACCTGCACAAATCCCCCAGTGCTTTACGTATAAGAGGTGGACCAGAGGCTTCCTTGGATGCTGATGAGGGCCCTGAAGGTGGAGTCTGACAGGTGCAGGTGATCAGCTACACAGCCTTTTTTTCGGGGGG